CAGAGCTTGCAGCAGCAGGCAGCTTCCCTGTGTGGCCCCTCTGTGCTGCTGCTCTGGGTTGCACATGCTGCACTCTCGGGCCTGCTACGCTCCCCTGGGCCCTCTGGAGTGCAGCATGTGCAACCTGGAGCAGCAGCTCACAGAGGGGCCGCACAGGGAAGCTGCCTGCTGCTGCAAGCTCTGCGCTGCCCAGGTCACACCTCCCCTGTGTGCATGGGAGCAGCATGGGCAGCATGCAGGGTTGTGCCCCTCGCTACTGCCCCCACCTGCAGGCAAAGTGTGGCCAGGGCAGCAGGGAGCTCGGAGCAGCAGGCAGCTTTCTGAGCCCCCCACAGTGCCCTGCTGCACTGGGTCCCACACATTACTCTGCAGAAGCAGCAACAAGGGCAGCACAGTGGGGTGCATCGCCGGTATCTGCTGCCTCCCTAGAGTCCAGGGCTGGGGCTGGGAGGCAGCTGGGGCCAGAGCCGGAGGGGGCAGGCACAAGCTGTTTGCAGTTGGCCCAGGTTCTGGGTAGTTGCTGATAGCCATAGAGCCGAGGCTGCTTGCAGCAGGGCTTCCATCCTCCCACCCTGCGGAGCTGGGGCGGGGAGGCAGCAGCTGTTTGTAGCCTCCCAGCTGCAGCCAGTCCAAGGTCTGGGGTAGCTGCTGCCAGCCATGGTGCCTGGACTGCTCCCAGCAGCCTGCTGGCAGCAGCTATCGAGAGCTGGGGATGGCAGCAGCTGGGAGACTGCAAACAGCTGCTGCTTCCCCTCCCCCAGCCTCGACCCCAACCCCAATGCATGCCGAGGAAAATGGCTTTGCATGCCATGCTCAGCATGTGTGCTGGGGGTTGCCAACCCCTGAACTAGACAATACAGAGACATGGAAATTTAGGGTTTCTTTCTAAGAATTCAAAATTTAGCAGAATAAGAGGGAAATACTCTGATACATAAATGCCCTAGCTGAACCAAGTAAAGATGGGATGAGAAGCTGAAAACTGAATTAATTAGAAAAGTAAAAGGATACCTGAAGAAAGAAAAGAGTAGGAGCAGCACTGATAAATTAGATGAAGGAGACAAATAGGATTAAATGATTACACAGTATGGCTTAACTGGTGTAGGAGATGGGAGAGAATGCGGAATGGCTTTAAGGAAATCAGGAAAGTATGAATGATGGAGGGAAGAATTAATATTTAATGGTATGTGGGGGAAAACCAGAGAATGGATTGTGCAAGGCAATAAAATAGATAGGGAGGAAGAAAAAGGAAGGAGCAGACAGAGGCATAGGGAAGGTGGCTGAATGGAGAGAAGAGAAAATTGATTTGCCGATAACAGAGAGAGCAGATTTTTAAAAGGAATGGAGGCTATTTAATAAACTATGGTGATACTGAAGCAGGGAAATGGAAGGTGGGAATAGCTGAAATTAGAAAATAAGAGTGAGAAACAAGTAAGAAATAGAAGACTGCAAGCATGTTGAAATAGAGCAAGGCGGACTTGGAAGAGTGAGACTAGGTGTGAGGGAAATATGTAAGCATATTGGATTTTTTGTTTTGGGGATGTGTTTTGTTTTACTTTTTGGCTTTTTTGGTATGTGTAGGATTAATTTAATTTAACAGTGAAAAGTTTTTCTGATCAAGAATTCTAAACACTGCTAAATACTCAGCAAGCTTGCTTTATTATATATGACATTTTTAAAGTGTTAAAATCTTCCTAAATGTGACTGACTATCTGATAATGTTCTGGAGAAAAGACCCAATAACACACCTCAATTCTTTCTTTTTTTCTTCTACTGCTCTCATTTAATATTGTTAGCTATGGGCTAGAATCAGGAACTATATTCATCCTTTCCTGGGGATGGAGAGAGGAACCCGGCATTTAGCAGAAGGACAGTACAATGATAAGGGTAGAGAGAGATCAGAAAATAAACTCTGCACGAAGGATGCAGTTTGGAAAAGCAGGAGGATTCAATACAAGAAGTGTGGTTGTGACATAAGAAAGAACAACATAGTTGAGATCCAACACAAGGCAGCAGACCAGGAACACTGGTTGAATGGGTGTGACAAACTTCAGAGGTAGTCTCAAACCTTTAGTGTTGAAAGGCAAAGCTACAGTAGACCCAATCCTCGGTATTGGTATTTAGTGCATCCCGCCCCTCCCCCAACCAAAACCACAAAGTCTGCTGAAAATCCCCCAAAAGGGATTGGATGAATTCTTGGAGGAACGGGGCATCAGTAGCTATTGAGCATGGGGGTTAGGGATATAGCCTCTGAATTAAAACCTCCTAGACCTTAAATACTGGAGGCTGCAAGTGAGAGGAAGAATGAAAAAAAACCCTCATCCAAAGAACCTTGTCTGCCATGGTCATACCCAGTTCATTCTCCCTTTTAACATCTACTCTCTGCTACTGTCTGACACAATACTGAGCAAGATAGACCTATGGTCTGACCCAGTAAATGGTAGTTCTTATGTTCTTATGAAGAAGAAATATTAACAAACCTGAGGTGAAATAGCTAGACCTCCAAGTGGATCACCATCCAGGATATCAGTTCCAGCATTATATATTATTATATCTGGTCTCGATTCATTTAATGCCCCTTCTACATGTGTTTGTACTTTCTGAAGATATTCTGTATCCTCTGTACCCCCATCCAATTCAATCTTCCGCTTTATGGCTCCTGCAAGAAATGTTTTAATAGTAATGGATCAAAGAAACAAAATTATTTGCTAAGAAAGAAAAAGTAAGATTTACACAAAAGCAAAAAAAAATTACATGATTTATCAAAATTTTGTCAATAATAATATATTATTATAAATATAATAATATTTTCATAGGATCTTAAGTTTAAAAGATGATTTTAGCTACTGCTTTCTTGATAGAAAATAACTGCTAAACTACGGCATTACAACCTGGAAACATTTTTGTTTAGAAGAAAAAATATCATGCAAAAATGAATAAAAGAGGCTTGCCTTTCTTAGCAAATGATTAGCAAGCAAGTAGAAAGTGGTTGTTGAATAAGGGAAACTTTCAGTCATATTTATTCCACAAATATTTGGCAAGTAAGAAAAAAATTAGGAAAAACACCAAACTAATAATGGACCAAGTAGCTAGCAGTATTAAAAGAGAGAGATCTGCCCCAAACAGCTTACAACGGAACATCCTGCAATCAGATCTGTATCAGGAAAACTGTGCCAATTTACTATCTTGATGTCAATTATGTTCCACACAGATACTGAGGTCTGCTGAGGAAGATTCAGTTTGGTCAAGGTGCTACAAACGCACGTAATAAGGCAACAAAGTCCCAGAGGATGGTGGAAAAGGGTAGGAGATCAGGCCCAAGGTTTTCTGTCTCTGAACTAGAAAATTTAGAATATTTAAAAAATAAATTAAAATAGAAATAAATCATTCAAATAAATTTCAGATCTTGCTTGGTAAAGGAAATGGAGCCTCACAAAGTATTTAACAAAATACACTGTGGCCTAAAATTCTGACTGGAGCCTCCGGAACCACTGAACAGAAACAAAATATATGATGAATACTAATTTGCCCTAACAATCTTTGTGAGATGAGATGCACTGATTCATTCCAGTCCTCCAGCACTGTAGCTAAGTGTTCTGTTTCCTTCCACATTTTTTGTCCTTTTCATCTTTTACATTCTTTCTGATATTATTTTTCCTGATTTCCATTCTTGTTGCTTCATAAATGTTCATAAAATTATGCACAGCTGCACATAACTTTGGACAACATATAGATCATGTTCTGAGGAAATAGTTATAAGCTGAAAAGAGTTTATAAAGCAGAGGAAAAGAAAAGATAAGTACTGGTTAAATAAAGTAATTAAAGAGAAGTTATGACAACCATGGAACCTTGTTGCATAGTTCTGCTGTTGGTTGAACTAATTTTTACACTGTTTAGTCACTGCTAAGTTTTAAGTAATTACCTACTACCGGTGCTGCCCCAGAGATTTCCCTGGGGCTTGAGGTCAGGCAAGTCATGTTGGCTCATAAATCTTCAAAGGCATTCAGATGCCTAGCTCTGATGTAGGCACCTGATTCCCCATTAAATCAATGGGAAGTAGGTGTCTAAATACCTTTCAGGATTTTAGCCTTCCCTGTCTGTGCAGCAAGTCTACATATTTAATATCCCTATCCCCATGGACAGATCTAGGATTTTGAAAAGGGGAGTGCAGATTGTGTGGTGCATCATCACAAATAAGTCAACACACACTTTTCTCTACTTAAAAAGAAATTAAAAGCTTTACTAATATGCTAAGGGCCTAGCTCTATATTATTCAGTTTAAGTTCAAATCACAAACAAATATAACTTCACTTAACTGTGCCCTGATTTGCTAGATAATATAAGAAGTTTAAAAAAAACTACAACTACCTAGGCAAAAATAGTCAGAAGAGTGTGTTTCATTAGTCCTGTAGTTGTTATAGTTAAATATACATTAGGGCTGTTTAAAGCTTTGGTAGTTGACTCAATTTGGAGGAGATGTGGCCTGATTCAGGGACCAAATCATGAATACGAATCGAATTAGGAGACCAATTAAAAGCTCCGAATTGATTTGAAGCATCCGAATCGATTCGGAAAAGCTTCAGAAAAGATTTGACCATAGACTAAACAGGTAGCTGACACAGCTGTCTCCAGCTGGTAAGTCTGTTGGGGTTGGGGAAGGCGGGGGGCAGAGAAGGGGCATGGGGGAGGGAGGGATTAGGGCTGGAACAAACTGCTCAGCCGGGGGGGGGCGGGGCACGGGAGCACAGGATGCAGGCGCGGGAGGCCTCGGAGCTGAGGG